ATTGCAGTTGGGTCCGGCAGGTGGTGTGGTGGTTAAAGGTGCTGGACTCCCACTGGTTGACCACGGTTCAAGTCCCGGACCTGGTGGCTTGTTTTCTCTCTTTCTCTTTCTCTCTCTCTCTTACTTTGTCTCTCTCTGGTCAAATAAATAAATAAATAAAGTTAATTAAAATAATTATTTTAAAAAAGATAATTAAACTTAATTTCTGTGACTCTGAGAGCAGACTATGACTAGTGGTAGAGGTTAATAGTGACAAGGTTTAAATTCAATATAAAATAAAGTGTTTTTCAGTTAGGGCTATCTATTGGATCAGTGGGAAAGTCAAGACGCTTTTTTGCATAAAAGAACATAGAAAAATACGTCATGAACTTTCCTGATGACCTAATATATATGGAATAGATTTCTAAAAACCAATCTCAGTAAGACATACCCTGATCATCCTATTTAAACTACTTTCCACCGTAATTTCCTCTGTAATCTCCCTCAGTATTCTCTAATTTTTTCCTACATAACTTATAATTTATTAAAATACTAGATAGTTTACTCAGTCTGTTCATTGTTTAATATATATCTCCCTCTATAATTATAGTTCCTCTTGAAGACAGAGGTATATTTGTTTATTTAGTTCACTCATGTATATGAAGAATCTTTTTAAAAAGTATTTATTTAATTTTATTAGCTATCCTTATTTTTTAATTTGATCAGAGAGAGATAGAGAGAGAAAGGGAAAGTGAGGAAGCAAGCCACCAGGTCCAGGACTCAAACTGCAGTCAGCCATGTGGGAATCTTGCGCCTTTAACCACCACACCACCTGCCAGCCCCATGTATACAAAGAATCTTAAGTGCTGCCCATGGATGACACTCAGTATTTGCTCAATGAATTGATGAATGTTTCCTTATTAATTGTTCTCTTCTTTACCTCCTTAGCGCAGCCATTATTGGTGCCATATAAACCTCCTGGTAGTACGAGTATGTACTATGTTCCACAATTAAAACAAGTTCCTTCAGCTCCGGAATCCAAATCAGATACCACCATTGAGAGCTCGCATTCAGGTATTATGCAGAAGTTATTCAAAATTTTACTTGTTAAGATTTTATTTGTGTTAGCTAGTTGATACTGGAATGAAAAATGAAAGTTCAGTGCTCTTTAATCCTTCAGTCAAGCATTTCATGCCTTGATCTCTGGTTTAGATAGGTGAGTTATATACACATAAGCATTTAATAAATTTCTGATGAAGATACATGTATGGGCAGTACTTTTGGGGGTGTGTGAGTAGGGCAGTGGGTTAGTGGACTCTATCTAGGGCAGAAGTTTCCGAACTTTCTTGGTTCACAGTGCCTTTATGTCAGTGGTTTTTTTCTCTTAGATTTATGTATGATGTATAAAAACAAATATTTTTTTCAAACAGCCACTAAGGTATTAGGACACAGATGCTTATTGTTTTACTCTAGCAACTTAAAACTGTTAGTTATTTCTTTTTGGGTTTGGCTTTGAAAAAATGTATTTAATTTTGTTCATAAATAACCACAGTTACTTCTAATGATAGATGTACAGCTGTTGGGTGTTATACAGTTACTCGAACATTGAGATTATAACACATAGCCTTTTTTTGACCTTTTTTTTTTGGACAGATTTTTGCTATACAGCACGTGCGCTTATCAGAGAGACAGAAAGTGAAAAATCACCACCACCACCACCCCCCCGGGGAGATGGCCACACTGCAATCCCTTCTCCTCCACTCTCCTCTGGGATCTTGGGCATGCACACACACACGCCTGGTGCGAGTTCAAGCCACAGGGTCTGGGACTTGAACCACAGTTGACTACATGAGAGTCCAGTGACATAGCCATTACGCTAACTGCTGGTCCCACACATAGCCATTTATTTTCTGCTTTTTATTACAGCAACTGCCAAAAATAATTTTGCAAAGATGCAATAGCATTGAAAGGAGCATAGCATTATCTGATGTTGATATTGAACTACCCTGAGCAAGTAGTTTATGATATCACTGATGTTTTCCTAGAATTTTAAAATAACCCTGTGAGTTCACTGCAGGGGAATTGCAGACTTAGGAAATGAATCACATCCCATGGAAGAACTTAAATATTTTCTAAGCGGATTTTAAAGTAAGGATACTAAGTTGTTGTGGTATGAGGTTTTGATTAGTGGGATACCATTTTGAGTAGTTCATGCAATGTGACTTGGTTCACTTGAGAAAAAAAATTTTTTTCATGATTTCTCCAGAAGCATTTTTATGTGTAGAAATTGCAAAGGAAAAAGTTCCTGGTTTTTGGCAGATTGTTTTGTTGTCGTTAATTTTATATGAAGGAGGATCAAACAGATTTCTAGTAATAGCTATGTTAAAGCCTCTAATCTTTATTTTTATTTTTTAATTTTTTTTTTTTGGAGAGGTTTTTGCCATAGGGCACGTGCGCTCGCCAGACAGAAAGAGACAGACAGAAAGAGAGGAATCACCTCCCAGGGGGGATGGCCAGGCCGCAATCTCCTCCATTTTCCTCTCGGGATCTTGGGCATACACACACGCACGCCTGGTGTGAGTTTTAAGCCACCGGGTCCAGGACTTGAACCGCGGTCAACTACATGGGAGTCCAGACATAGCCATTACGCTAACTACTGGTCCCTAAAGCCTCTACTCCAAGCTCTTCTAATTTTCTACTATGATGACACTGGAAAAAAAAAAAAAAAACAGCAACACAAAAATGGTCAGGATTGATTAATGTCTATAGCCGGAAACAAAAAATTTCTACTCTTTGCAAGACTGTGATTTTAAAAATGCAATTAATGGTTACCAGCAATAAAACGAGCTTATTAAATATAGGCAGAAAAATCTTTGCTCCCTCTTACCCACTAGTTCAGAAGACAGAATGTCTATAGACAACAGAAGTCCCAGTACTTTTTCGAGGCCTCCAATATCCTGCTGTTCATTCACATCCCTAATAACTTCCATCTAATTGGAAGAGATGGAACTTAGAGAAAAATTAGGTTGTGGTGAGTGATGGGAATAGAAAATAATTCAGAGGTGGTGCATTGTGTCCTGAGAAACACTATCCCTGAGGATAAAGTACTACAAAAAGAAAATAAAGTAAGACAAAAAGAAACCTAATATTTGTACATACAATAAATTATATTCTATGTTCTCCATCTATTCTGAGACTGAGAAAGCTAGGAATAGAAAATTACCCTCTCTTACACCAGTAGAGCTACTTTCAGTGAAAGCCTAGGAATTATTCTAATAGCTATCATCTATCAATGTATTGTGTGTAACATTAGGCTATCGGGCTAATAGGGTAAGAAATTCCTTTTTTGTGCCAATCCAGATTGCCTGAGTTTTTTTCAGCTGGTTACTCCTAATCTGCTTTTAGGAAAAACTGATCTGTTTTTTTTTTCTAGCTTCCTGTGTGGGAGGGTAAGAACATAGGAAAAGAAAGTTGGGGAAAAAAAATAGAGAGGTAGGACAATTGTGGGACACAGATATGGTTTATTATCTGTCGATGAAGATGTGTATAGTATTCTCAACTAGACTGGACTGAGGTGTATATCATGCTGGGTAAAGTTTCTTTACAATCTAAATGATGTATAGTGATTAAATGTATAAATAATAATTAAAATACATTTTTAAAAATTATTTAAAAATTAAAATAAAAGAATTTATACTGGTAAAAAAAAAATTCAATTTGATTGTGCACACTTAAAAACAAAATGACTTCTTATTGGTTTGGTCTTTTGGGGCAGGAGCTCAGTCCAAGACAATGGCCTCCCATGAATTTTATTTAACAGGTTAAAGTTAGTAGAGTGGTAGGTAGATATGGTTAAAGATAGGTAGGTTTGGGACCAGCAGTTGGTATAATGGCTATGTCACTGGACTCTCATGTAGTCAACTACGGTTCAAGTCCCAGACCCGGTGGCTTAAACTCATGCTGAGCTCATGTGCATACGTGCCCAAGATCCTGAAAGGAGAATGGAGGCGAAAGGATTGTGGTGTGCCCATCCCCGCCGGGGGTGATTTCTCGCTTTCTGTCTCTCTGTCTCTCTCTGTCTTTCTGGCGAGCACACACACCCTATAGCAAAAAAAGAAAACCTCTCAAGAAAAAAAGAAAGAAAGAAAGATAGGTAGGTTCAAGATCATGTAGAGTTTTATAAACCATATTAAATAATTTTGATTTTATTCTAGTAGCAATGATAGTTTAATTTACATTGTAAAGTTCATTCCGGTTGCTTTGTAGAGAAATGGCTTGTAAAGGGAAAGGCAGAGAGCAAGGTGGGAGGGTCAGCGTGGAAGTGAAGGCACTAGTTAGTGCCACTTGTTGCAGTGGTCCTTGCCAGAGTTCGCAGCGTTGAAAGTTAGAGTGAAATCGATAGAGATAGAGAGAAGTGGACATCGTTAACTTATTTTTAGGAAATAGTTTCTCTTGGATTGGATGATATAATATGAAGAGCAAGGGAGAAGGTGGTAAAATAAAAAGAATTTTTTGTTTTTTAAGGATGAGCACCTATGTGCATAGAGGTGCTATTTATGGAGATGGTAATTGAGGAAGCAGCAGATTTTGGGGGAATGATCAAACTATCTGCTTTGGCCATATTAAAAATGACATTCATGTTATGGACCATGTAGAGATGTTAGATCTGCAAATGAACATTAGCAGAGTTGATTTACAAATGATGTAGTTGTATGCAAAGGACACCACATATAAGGTAGCACGACTCACTTTATAAACATACTATTTCTTTTAAGAAGACACAGATGGGCATGAGGTTCCTCATCTCTAATCAGAGTTCTGGAGCAATAATATTAACTCTTGAGCCGCTCAAATCATAAATCTACACTCATGCAAACTTAATTATACGTAACATTTACTGGCATACACACATCCCTGTGACTGCACTCTCTTTCAGCTCTCTCTCAATCCCACTGAGGTTGATTGTCTTGCTCACCCACCTACTGCTCTCAGAAATGTAATTGTTTCCCACCTGACTCTCAACCTGGCTTGGTCATCTCCCTTGGAAAATGAGGAAGGATGGTACAGAGTGTGCACCTGCATGGTGCTGCTGGCATGTCCTGTCTGGTGTCTGGGATGGTTTGTTAGGAGAATTACCACCATTGTAGTTGTTTGTGTTCTGCCATAATATATAGTAAATTAATTTTTTTTTAATTTCAAGAAGGGATTTCATTTTCTGATTTCTATAAAAATGATATAAGGGTTAACTGTGTCCCTCAATGCTAGAGCTCAGAAAAAAGGTCTCAGTCAGTGGTACATATGTGTTGGTCATTAGCACATAGGTAGCATGTCATACATTGCAGTCTTTTTTTCTTTTTTTTTTTTTTTGAGAGTTTTTTGCTATAGGGCAAGTGCGCTTGCCAGAAAGACAGAGAGAAACAGAGAGACAGAAAGCGAGAAATCGCCCCCCAGGGGCATGGCCATGCCACAATCCCTTCTCCTCCATTCTCCTCTCGGGATCTTGGGCACGCACGCACATGTGCCCGGCGTGAGTTTAAGCCACCAGGTCCAGGACTCGAACCGCAGTTGACTACATGGGAGTCCAGCGCCATAGCCATTACACTAACTGCTGGTCCCATACCTTGTAGTCATTTAGGCCTCCTGAGAAGAGAAGTGTCCATTACTGATCACTTGAGGATTTCCAACATTGGGAGATGTGGTAGAAGAAAAGAATAATAAGGATTTGTCTGAGAGGTAGGAGGCAAAAAGGTTAAGTGAGGTAAGAGAAACTGAGAAAAGAGCCCAATAAAATCTGTAGATTTGGCCCAAAAATCTTGGTGGGATCTTACAGTCTGTCCTGAAGAACTCTTCATAGCGTATTTATATTTGTACTGTTCTGATGAAGTTGGTACTTCCTCAGCTCATTGCCATATACTTATTAGGAACTCAGGAACACATGAAGTACAGGATCCTGGATTAAAAAGAAAACCATTTTGGGGACCAGCAGATGGCATAATGTCACTGGGCTCTCACATAGTCAGCTTTGGTTCAAGTCCTGGCCCAACAGCTTAAAAGTCACCATGGGAGCCTTTGTGTGCATGCCCAAAATCCCTAGAGGAGAACTGAGGAGAAGGGATTGTGACATGGCCATCCCTCCTGGGGGGTGATTTCTCACTTCCTGTCTCTCTCTCTCTGCCAAGCACATCACCCTATAGCAAAAATCTCTCAAAAAAAAAAAAAAAAGGAAAAAGAAAAATCATTTTGTAGAAGATAATTTAATTCTACTACAGGTCTTTGTATGTCTAGAGTTTTTTTTTTTTTTTCTTTTTAGATGAGGCATGGGTAATAGATTAATTTCTCTTATCAGTGGATGGGGGAATATTGAAATACTTTAAAAGAAAATGAGTCTAAGAAAATGAAATACTTTCAAATCTTTTATTTATCAGGTTTTTTTTTTTCTTTTCAACGTTTACCTTTTATATTGTCAGACTAATCTTTCTAAAACAGCCGATTGTGTTACTCTTTTCAGTAATGTTCCATTTCTTGTACAATAAAATTTATGCCCTTTGTCTTGGGATGCTACGCACTGCTGAGTTTTGTCCAAAATAATTATTCCTTTTATTTTTATTTATTTTGTCAGAGGAGGCATATGTTTTCCAGAGAGAGAGAGAAAGAGAGAGAGAGAGAGAGGACTACCCAGTTGGGTGTGGTCACACTATAGTCCCTTCTCCTCCATTTCTTCATCCTATAGAGGCTCTGGGCATGCACACACATGCACTTGGCTTGTTTTTCAAGCCACTGGGGCCATTTGAGATCCAGCTTCCTAAATCAAGACTATGGGGATGGTCTCAATTATTTTTAATATCACCTACTACTCTTTTTAATGTATTCAACAATTCTGCCTGACCACAAAAGTGTCCACTGTGCTTATGTTCTTATATACTCCTTTTCTTTGCTTAGGCTGTAAACTTATAACTAAAATGCCTTCTCTCCTTTTCAAAAAGCCAACTTTCTTCCCAAGATATAATTCTTTTTCTCCTTCATACCTAAGCTGGAAACGGTTTGGCTCCTGGACTGGAAATAGCCTGACTCCTGAACTGTTGTTTCACTTTGTATGTCTTCTCTTATGCCATTTGCTTCTTTGCTTACGTTGTTGGAGTTTATTCTATATAATTTTAGTTTGACTGATATCTGATGTCCTGATTACTGGACAATACTCCATTTGTGGTGCCTTTTTTATAGAATTGGTCTGAAAGGAAAAATGTTTTCAACTTTTTCTCAACTTTATGTTTATATTTGTTTTAATTGTATTACTGTCTGATTTTCCTGTAGGATCCAATGATGCTATTGCTCCAGACTTCCCAGCTCAGGTGCTAGGCACGAGAGACGATGACCTGTCAGCCACTGTTAACATCAAACATAAAGAAGGGATCTACAGTAAGAGGGCGATGATTAAGCCATCCTCACTACTGGGGAAAAAGCCCTTTCAGGAAGATTATCCAGGTAACTGGATCGGCTTTGTGTATTTTGTGGTTTTTTTACCTCCTTTCATCCTAAATAAGAATTTTGTCCAATCTCTACCCTTTTTCTATTTTGTTTTGCAAGATTTTCTCCTTGCTATAATGTTGGATTCCAGTAAATTAGAATTCCAGTAAATTAGAAGTTAGGGAAAATCATAATGAAGATTACAATATATTTACAACTGAATTATAATAAAATTTTGTTATCAAAAATTTATGGAAGATAGCCAAAGTAATATTTGGGGCTAAAGTTACACACTTAAATACAAATATTAAAAAAGAAAAATCCAATAAAAACCCCTACTGATTTTTTTTCCAGAAGCTAATGAGCTTATTCTAAATTTGATAAGGAGGGACCAGCAGTTGGCATAATGTCTGTGTCGCTGAACTCCCATGTAATTGACTGCTGTTCGAGTCCTGAACCCGGTGGCTTAAACTCACGCTGGGCGTGTGTGTGTGCATGCCCAAGATCCCAAGAGGAGAATGGAGGAGAAGGGATTGTGGCGTGGCCATCCGCGAGGGGGGATGACTTCTCGCTTTCTGTCTCACTCGGTCTTTCTGGTGAGCGCACACACCCTGTAGCAAAAATCTCTACAAAAAAAAAAAAAAATTAAAGTTGATAAGGAAATATAGAAGGCTGAGAATAGCCAGGGCCATCTTGACAAAAAACAAATTAAGAGGATTTAAACCATCAGATATCAAAAGGTGGTGGTAATTAGGAAAATATAAACAAACTGACTATAGAACAAAATGCTTCAGAAAGAAACTTACAAACTATACATATCAATTAGGATAGTAAGATGGGCCTGCTCTGTGGTGCACCAGTCATGTACGGCTCAAGAGAAACTGGTACTCACATGATGACTGCAGTTGAAATCCTTAACCGGGGGACCAGCAGTTAGCATAATGGCTATGTTGCTGGACTCCCATGTAGTTGACCGCAGTTCGAGTCCCAGACCCGATGGCTTAAACTCACACCAGGTGCATGTACGTGCGTGCTCAGAATACCAAGAGGAGAATGGAGGAGAACGGATTGTGGCATGGCCATCCCCCCAGGAGGTGATTTCTCACTTTTTGTCTCTCTGTCTCTCTCTGTCTTCCTGGCAAGCACACATGTCATATAGCAAAAACCTCTCGAAGAAAAAAAAGAAATCCTTAGCCAGGTCACCCTGAAACATGCCAGGCATGTACCTGAGTACACAAAATCTGTATGTTTCTCTCTGTCTGTCTGGCGAGCGCGCGCGCCCTATAGCAAAAAAAATCTCTAAAAAAAAAAACATGCTGGGTCCACGTGTGTCCCCTAAACCCTAATACAATGGAGAAATGGAGGAAAAGGAATTGTAACAAACACTTTATTTGGAAGCATTCTCTCTCTCTCTCTTTCTCTCTCTTTCTCCCTTCCTCCCTCCCTCTTCTCTCTCTCTCTCTCTTTCTCTTCAACACATGTGCCATCTGACAACTTAAAAATAAAAATGAAGGGTCCCTACACCCACCCAAAGAGAGCCTGGTTCTGAACCAGGAAAGCTGTAAAAAAAAAAAAAAAAAAGGGGGGGGAAGAAAAAGAAGACGATGAAAAGATTACAAAAAAGGAGAGAATAAAAAGAGAAGCCACAGAGTAGAGAAGATATTTGCAATATGTATATCCTAGAAAAGACATATCCAGACTATAAAAAGAGCTCTTACAAATGCATGTGAAAAATATACCCAGCCAAGTAAAAACATAGACCTAGGTAGGCACTTCACAAAAGAGAGTATCTAATAGCCAGTAAACTTATGGAAAATATTCTACTTCATTAATCAGGGAAAGGCTTTTTAAAACTACAGTAAAATAGCTCTACATACCCAGTAGAATAACTGAAATGGAAAAAACAATATACTGTGTTAGTTAGAATGTAGAACAAGCAAAACTTATTTATTCACTGCTATGAGTGTATAAATTAGTATGACCACTCTGGAACACAATGTGGCATTATCATTACCTACTAAGTTATACAAAAGTATAACAGGTGACCTAGCAGTTCTGCTTCTAACCGTATATTCAACAGAAAAAAGATGCATACAACCACCAACGGATACATACACAAATATTCTTCACCACAGCATTTGCAGTAGCTCCAGCTGGAAACTACTGAGATGCCCAATATTTGTCCAGTAGAATGGGTAATTTGTGGTATACTGACATTATTGAACACTAAGTAAGAACAAAGAATATATGTAACTGTACTTAATGAATCTTGGGGGCCAGATGATGCATTTTGTAAATGCTCTATGAGACACATCCCTGTGGGAAGGTTGCTGGTTCCCATCCGAGATCTCTGTCAGTGCACCAGGCATTGCGTGTCCAGGATCTAGCACTGGCTGAGTTGGGATTAGATTGCACTGTTGAAACCCTACTGAGGTTGCTGTCCCTCCCTCTTTCTGTTTATCGTGGAACCAATAAATAAACTTAAAACACAGTCTTACAGATGTAATGCAGGAGAAGAAAGGGAAACATGTAAGAGCGTATTCTGTATTATTTCATTTATATAAGTTTCACAAATATTCAAAATTAATATTGTTTTTAAAATTATACAGGTGTTGGGACCAGCAGTTAGCGTAATGGCTATGTCACTGGACTCCCACGTAGTCGACCGCAGTTTGCATCCCGGACCCGGTGGCTTAAAACTCACGCTGGGCACGCGTGCGTGCCCAAGATCCCGAGAGGAGAATGGAGGAGAAGGGATTGCGACGTGACCATCCCCCCTGGGGGGTGATTTCTCACTTTCTGTCTCTCCATCTCTCTCTGTCCAGCGAGCACACGCGCCCTATAGTGTAAACCTCTCCAAAAAAATATATATATACATACAGGTGTTGGGGCCGGCAGGTGGTGTGGTGGTTGAGGCACTGGACTCCCACATAGCCAACCACTGTTCAAGTCCTGGACCTGGTGACTTGCTTTCTCACTCTCCCTTTCTCTCTGTCTGTCTTTCTCTGGTCAAAATGGAAGAATAATGATAATAAATGAAATTGAAAATAAATGAATCTTCTAAAACACTTTTAAAAAATAAAATAAAATTATACAGGTGTTACCCTCAGCAAAGGTAAGATGGAAAGGAATAATAAGAGAAACATGCACGTTATGAGTCAGATTTTATGTCTTGACTAGATAAGTGAATACACATGGTTTTTTTTGTTGTTTTTCTGAGATTTTTGCTATAGGGTGCATGCGCTCTCCAGAGAGACAGAGATAGAGAGACAGAAAGTGAGAAATCACCCCCTAAGGGAGATAGCCACACAGAAATCCCTTCTTCTCTCGGGCTTTTGGGCGCACACACACACACACACACACATACACACACACGTGTGCGCGTGCACCCCATGTGAGTTTTTAAGCTGCTGGGTCTGGGATTTAAACCACGTACGACTGTGGTAGTCCAGCAGTGTAACCATTACACCATCTGCTGACATGTTAATTTTTTTTATAATTTACCAAGCTCTATATTTGTCCATTTTTCTGTACGTATTTTTACTACACAATAAAAAATATTCTTTAAAAAGATAAACAAAAATTTTAGAAGTCTGAAAGGACATGACAGACTATTGTATAGAAATTTATGAAACTGCATCGAAATGTATTAAGGAATATCTCAATAACTGGAGAATTTACAATTGTAATAACATCAGACTTATATATGCACACAAATACATAGATGCACATATATATTCACAGCCTTTGGATTTTTTTTAAGAGATATTTTTGCTATAGAGTTTGTGCAGTCACCAGAAAAACAGAGAGAGCCAGATTGACAGAAAGCATGTAATCACCCCTTGGGAGGATGGCCATGCTGCAATCCCTTTTCCTCCATTCTCTTGGGATTTTGGGCACGCACGCACATGTGCTCAGAGTGAGTTTTAAGCCGCAGGATCTAGGACTCGAACCGTGGTTGACTATGGGGGAGTCCAGCAACGTGACCATTATGCCATCTGCTGGTCCCCACAGCTTTTAGATTTAAGATATCATTTGCAAAGGAATAAGCAGAAAGAAAAATGAAATGGAACAGTGACCCAGAAACACCCATGGATATGGAAACGTAATATATATGTGGAGATGGTATAGCAATTCAGGAGAAAGGATGAAGATAAACTATTTAATAGTATTTGGACCACTGATTATGTAAGAAAAATAAAATTGGATGAGTCCCTACCATACACTAAACAAAAATTCATTCTAGGAATACTAAATGTTAAAAGGAGAACTTTTAACTTAGAGAATTTATGTGTTCTCACTTATAACAATAGATAATTAAGGATTTATTAAACAAGGCACACAAAGCACAGCCCTTAAAGGATAAAGCAAGTGCAACATCAGGGACCAGCCGATAGTGTAGTGATTGGGTCACTGGACTCCCACATGGCTGACTCGCTCGAGTCCTGGACATAATGGCTTCAAATTCACACCAGGCATGTGTGCATGCATACCAAAAATCCTGAGGATAGTGGAGGAGAAGGGATCGCAGCAGGGCCATCCCTTCTCGGGTGATTTCCCACTTTCTGTCTCTCTGTCTCTGTTTCTCTGGTGAGTGTACACACCCTGTAGCAAAAACCTCTCTTAAAAAAATATTGTGATGTTAAAATGAAAAAATTCATATGTAAAAGACATCATAAATGAAAGACAAGACATTGGCTTTTCTCAAAATGTTTGAACTCATCGGGACCAGCAGTTAGCGTAATGGCTATGTCGCTGGACTCCCACATAGTCGACCGCGGTTCGAGTCCCGGACCCGGTGGCTTAAACTCACGCCGGGCGCGTGTGCGTGCGTGCCCAGGATCCCGAGAGGAGAATGGAGGAGAAGGGATTGCAGCGTGGCCATCCCCCCTGGGGGGTGATTTCCTGCTTTCTATCTCTCTGTCTCTCTCTCTCTGGCGAGCGCACGCGCCCTATAGCAAAAAAAAAAAAAAACCCCCCCCAAAAAAAAAAAAAAAAAATAGTTTGAACTCATATAAACTACAAAGTAAATTATATGAGTTGAAATTTTATAAAGAAATTTTACATCATTGTTCATCACAATACTTTTCAATAGAAAAATATTGGAAATAGCCTGAAGTTGATCACAGGTGAATTGATATAATACAGTAGCAGGGGTCAGCAGGTGGTGTAGTGGTTAAGGTGCTAGACTCCCACATGGTCAACCGTGGTTCAAGTCTCAGACCCGGCAGCTTTAAACTCACATCAGATATGTACAAGTGTGTGCCCAAAATTCCAAAAGGAGAAAGGAGAGAAGACTGCAGCATGGCCATCCCCATAGGGGATGATTTCTCACTTTCTCTCTTTGTGTCTCTATGTCTCTCCAGCAAGCACATCCACCCTATAGCAAAAATCTCTCTCACTCAAAAAGAAAGAAAATAACAGTACAGTAACATACTATATAACATTGAGAATCATGTCATTAGAGTGAAACACGTCTTTTTTTTGTTTTTCTTTTGAAGAGAGATTTTTGCTATAGGGCATGTGCACTCGCCAGAGAGACAGAAAATGAGAAATCAGCCCCCCCTGAGGTGATGGCCACAGCACAATCCCTTCTCCTTTAGTCTCCTCTCAGGACTTTGGGCACTATGCACACACCTGGCATGAGTTTTAAGCTGCCAGGCCTGAGACTCGACTGAGACTCGAACTGCAGTCGACTGCATGGGAGTCCAGCGATGTAACCATTACACCATCTGCTGGTCCCAATACTTATCTTAATATGACTAAATCTCAGTATCATTATATTGGGTGAAAAATGCATGTTGCTTAAAGGTACATATACTGTTGTACTCCATAAAATGTTTAAAGACATGCAAAACAGTAATGTAAAATGTTGATGAATATATACAACAAGAGAGCTAAACATGTCCTCGAGGTTGGTAAACTTTAATTTCTGTATAAGGGGTCCTACTGAGGAGAAAGAAGGGCATCATTGAGATTTTGCCAGGGAATCGTGTCTGCAGTGTTTTCTTTCTTAAGCTCTGTGATAGATGCCTTGGTGTTTATTATGTTATTTATACTATTGGTATGCCTGAAATATTTTAATGATTTTTTTTGGTAGATTTTTGCTATAGGGCATGTGTGCTTGCTGAAAAGACAAACAGAAAGCAAGAAATCACCCCTAGGAGGGATGACCATGCTGCAATCCATTCTTCTCCACTCCTCTTGGGATCTTGGGCACGCATGAACTTATGCCCAGCATGAGTTTTAAGCTGCCAGGTCTGAGACTCGAACCAGGGTCGACTTCATGGGATTCCAGCAGCATAACCATTACACCATCCGCTGATCCTCTTTAATAACATTTGTAAAAGCTTTAAATGATCTAAAATTTTCAGAAGTTATTTAAATCAAAACGATGAGGATTGAAGTAATATAAATAATAAAATTTAGTTAGTTTAAAAAGGTAATAAGATAAATAAAACCAAAACCAGCTCTCTCTCAGGTTTTTAGTGGTCTCTACTGTCTGATTTATTTTTAGAAAAATATTCATACTTAGAGGTAAGAAATGAATCTTCTGTTAACCCCTTGTAAAACATCACCATTATTAGCTATTTGATGTGCTATCCTACTTGTTATGTTGATGATTTTTAATGTATTATTAACATATTATTTTGCACTTGTGTTTTCCCATATAATGTAGAAGAGCTGTTCTTAAATGACCAGTAAGACAGATAAATCTATAGCACGAATAACCAAGAAAAGCAGAAAGAAAGAGAAATAGCAAGTACTAGACAAGTTTAAAAAGATGTAACGGGTTGTCAGAAAAGTCATGACTCATTTTTTTTCTAGTTTTCCTGTACAAAAATGCATCATGGCTTCCTACAACCCAATACTTGAAGTTTTTTAAATATGATATGAGAATGCTATACATAAAATCTAGATGATAGTATTTTTCTTGGAATATATGAAATAGTGAAATAGGCTCCAATGTAATTTAAATATCAAAACTGATTTTTAAAACTTTGACTAGGTCAAAGAACTCAAGAATATTGTTCAGGTATACTTTTTTACTTTGGAAAACATTCAAGGAGTCTTCAAAAAGTTCATAGGAAATGTGCATTCTGACAAAACTGTGTATAGATTTCAATTGTTTCTGCATTAAAATAAGCTCATACTTTAATTCAATAGTTCCATGAACATTTTGAAGACCTCTCATATCTGATATATATTGTTTCATTGTAACATCACACAGATTTTATTTATTATTTTATTTAAACCATTATATGCAGAAAAATATGGAATGCTTTCTAATTTATGTCACAGTTTTCACACAGTGGAGCTAAGAGGAGCATTTTTCCTAATACGTAAAGAAGTTTGGGGTATTGGTTTGTTTTTTAGGGAGAGGGATTGCTTGTCTGTTGTATTTATTATCTTTTCCTTCAACATAGGATCAAATGATGTCATTATTTCAGATGCCCCAGGTCAAGTGCCCATCAGTAGGGATGAGGACCTCTCAAAGAAAAATCAGAAAGAGGAGATCATCGGTAAAAAGGCAGTGACTAAGGTTGCCCAACCCGAAGAAATGGGACCCTTGCAGAAAGACACTACAGGTAGCTGAACTGTATTGTCTACATGTTACATTCTTCTGGCCTTTTAAAATGATACTATTCCCTTAAGAATATAAACAAAAATATATTCTGTTTTCTTCTTATAATAACACTTCTCTACCTCATATGTGAAATAATGAAAATATTTTTAAGCTCCATTTTTAATATACTTTAGCAGGTAAAATTGACATTTTTCAAGCTCTTTGAGATATTTCTAGAAAACTTCCAAATATAGTACACAAATTAATCCCATTGCCAGCAGTGTGCTTAATGTACTTTTTACCTTTGCTGATAAAAAATTTCAATGACATGAGACACTGACCCTTCAATACAGTTGTTGTATGTAAGCCTTTATTCTTTAGGCATTCAACCTGTTAACTTTGTTTATTTGTTTTTTAAACAGGTTCTTATGGTAGTATATTGGGTTTTTTTTAATTATTATTTTATTTTATATATTTAATTACTGTATATCACTACAGCTTGTAAAATAAATTTACCCAACATGAGCACACTTCCCACCAGTCCAGTTGAAGATATCATGCACATTATCAACAACAGATAATCATCCAATTTTGTTTTCTTTTTTTGGAGAGATTTTCACTGTAGGGCGCGTGCGCTCGCCAGACAGACAGAGAGAGACATAGAGACAGAAAGCGAGAAATCACCCCCCAGGGGGGATGGTCACACCGCAATCCCTTCTCCTCCATTCTCCTCTCGGGATCTTGGGCACGCACGCACATGCGCCCGGCGTGAGTTTTAAGCCACCGGGTCCGGGACGTGAACCGCGGTCGACTACGTGGGAGTCCAGCGACATAGCCATTACACTAACTGCTGGTTCCCTTGTTTTCTTTTTAAAAGAGATTTTTTTGCTATAGGGCACTTGTGCTGGCCAGAGAGACAGAAAGCAAAAACTCTCCCCCAGGGGTGATGGCCATGCAACAATCCTTTCTCCTCCATTCTCTTATCCGGGTTTTAGGCATGCACACACATATGCCCAGCATGGAGTTTTAAGCTGCCAGATCCAGGACTCAAACTGCAGTCAATTATGTGAGAGTCTAGCAATGTAACCATTACGCCATCTGCTGGTCTCTTGTTTTTTAATTTGCCAGAGGGCCTGTGTGCCTGCTGGAAAGAGGTGGGGATGGGGGAAGGGCAGCATCTCCCCACAGAGGATGGTCGTTGAGATCCAGCCACTTTAACCACCATGCCATCAGCTGGCCCACCTCATTAACTTTCTAACTACCTCTCTAATGAATTTACTTAAGAAGGCTATACTGATTAAAAATGTCTATAATAGTGTTTTTAAGTTAGGATTTGTTTTGGCACTGAGAGATGAAAATGAACCCAACATCATTGGCTTTAAAAGGACAGGAAATTATTTTTCTTTCTCATAAAAATTCAAAGGTAGGCATCCAGGGTTGAAGTGATGCTCCAAAGTATTAGGAAACAAGCTCTCTCTCACCTGTTGCACCAATGTATTTGGCTTCCATTTTCTTTCCTTTTTTTTAATAAATAATTATTTTATTTAACTTAATTTACTTATTTATTTTAATTTGACCAGAGATACAGAGAGAGAGGGGGAAATTGAGAAAGCAAACCACCAAGTCTGGGACTCAAACCGCAGTTGGCCATGTGGGATTCTAGCACCCTTAACTACCATATCACTTACTGGTCCCTTGGCTTCCATTTTGAAGCTCTAGCCATCAGCTGACTGGGAGAAAGGGAAAGGAAAAAAGTACGTCTCAGAAGTTACACCTACCAGTTTCCTTATATACTATTGGTCTTACCTGGTCACACCAAGCAAAATCGTCAAGGATGCTGGGGAATTTATTTGTCTTTATTCTGTTAACCATGTGTCCTGCTAACTGTAAGTGTTCTGTTTTAGAGGAACAGTTAAATGCATGTTAGTGCACTACTAGTAGTTTCTGTCGTAATTGAAACATATTTTAGAGCATAATTAGTCACTTCTCTTTTTTATATATTGCTCCTTTTTTATCAGAAAGATTAAAAAAAAGTTTTATTATATGAAAATAATTTAAAGTGAATTAAAAGCCATACATAAAAAGGACACATACTGTTTGATTCTGTTTATATACAAAAAGTCAAGAATAAATCCAGTGAGACAGAAGGTTAATTAGTGGTTGCTTTCCAGCTAGTGGGTGACTGCGAATGGGAGTGAGTTTTCTTTTTAGGGTGATGAGATGGTGATAATGGATGTACAACCTTGTAATAAGCTAAAAACCACTCATTTATACACTTTGAAATGATTAAATATATAGTATTCGAATTATATTTCAGGATTTTTAAAATGGATTTTAAAAACCTTCTCAGCCACAATGTTCTCATCTATATAATTCATATTCCTACTGTGTGGAATGGACCCAGTGTGGTAAGGAACATAGCACAGTGTTTGCATTGGATGCTCCGTAAATGGCCAGTCACCTGCCAGGATCCCAGTTGGGACTTAATCACTCTGTGTGGCCAGGGGAAAACCAGAGCACCTCACCGAGTCTCATTTCTCACTTGCAAAATGAGAGTTGGATTAGATAAACCTTCAGGTCCTTCTAGATCTGGTCAGGACCTCTAGAAAACTCTTCAATTTATGAAAATACTGAGAAAAATAATGTGTGTTTGTGTAGTTCTTGATATTTTCCAAAGCACATTCAAGTAGCTTCATTCCTTTGTTATCTCACCTGTCATTTAATATATATATTGTTGGGGTTTTTTGTTTTTTTAAAAACTTAGATTGATTTCTCAGTAACACTTCAAAAATTTATTCACTTTTTTACTGTTGCTAAGTAAATGTTCCAGATACCGTTTTGATCTTGTTAATCTCCTAATCAAAAGCTTTAGTTTTTATTGCCCTTAAGAATAAAAGCTAAACTCTTTAAGCATAGTCTTCCAGAAAAATAGACTTGACTTCTAAATAACGTTAAAAGTACTACTTCTCACCTCTTTTCCTTATGGGTTCTCTAATCAGATAAACCGTACACTTTCCTGAGTCCATTCTTCTGTTTTATAATTAATTTCCCTAAAATGCCTTTATCTTTTCATCTCATCTGTGTATCCCATCTTAGATGTCTTCCTACTCAAATCAATTGTCTAGGGGCTGGCAGGTGGTGTGGTTAAGGCACTGGACTCCCACGTGACTAACTACAGTTCGAGTCCCAGACCTGGTGGCTTGCTCTCTCATTTTCTCCCTGGTCAAATTTTAAAAACTAATAATGATAAATAAAATAATTATTTAAAAAATAAAGTTGTCAAGAGTTCTGTGATACTCATAACTGGTATTAGTTATTCCTTCTTTGAGTACTTGTATCTCTTTATCTGTTATGGTGTATTTCTTTGGCATTCATTTATATACATTTTCATCCCAATTTAGATAGTTTTCTAAGTACATCTCTGATTGAACTTGGTTTTTTCTTCTGTATTGGTAATACCACCCTCTACCTAATATTGAATAGGTGCTTGAAATCTAAATGTTTTTTGGTCAACTTTCTGTCTGTGTAATGTGTTAATTTCCCTCTCTTAGTTCCCAGTGATGCTGCTACTGCAGAGCATTCAACTCGCACACAAGACTCAAAGGCTGAAAATCTACCAGACACTAAAAGCACTAAACAGAAAGAGGAGATCCATAGTAAGAGAACAGTACCTAAGGAGGCCTGGCCAAAAGATAAAGAATCCTTACAGATAGATATTTCAGGTAATGGGATTCATGAATGTGTCTGTATGTGTAGATCTGTGTCAATGTCTCTGTGTTCCCATTTCATTCTTATGAGAATGTGGCCTAATGATTCAAACAAACATCCTTTTTTTTTCTCTAACTCTCTTTGGCATATAACTTTGATGCTGCTTTGTCTATGTGGATATATGCAGGTTGGCCATCCCTATTCCAAAAACAAAATGCTGTAAAATCTGAAACTTGCTGAGTACCAACATATCACCACAGGTGGAAAATTGCACTCCTGACCTCTTGAGATGGGTTGCAATCAAAATGCTGCAACATAAAAAATATCGCATAAAATTACCTTCAGGCTATATATATGTACATGTAAGATATGAAACATAAATGAATTTCATGTTTAGACTTGGGTTTTGTTCCCAAGATAACTCTTTATTTATATGCACATATTCCAAAATTAAAAAAAAAAAATGGAAACATTTTTGGTCTTGGGCATTTCAGATAAAGGATATTCGACTTGTTTGTTGACTTGTAAAATTACTTTTACTTCTGGGAAAAGATATTAGCCACCGAGAAACAGAATTATAAATAAATGCCTAAAGGCAATAGTATAAGAAGTACCAAAACAAAAAACCTAAAGGCATTCCAGAAGACTTTGGTGAAGGCAGCTTAAGTGTTAATATTGGGTCATCGGAAGTCTTCATGCATTTTTGCATGAAAAACAGAAAACTTTGTCATGACTTTAACAATGACCCAATACAACTTTAAAAATACTATGAAAAAAAAAAAGCCAAAATCAAATTTAATTTGTATTTTGCCAAGGCCCCCATTTTCTGGTATAAAAGAAAAGCATATAGGGGTGACAGTCTGAGCAACCACCACCAAGCTAGGCACTGGGGAGATGGCAGAGACTGACCCCAAGACTGTGCAGGACCTGACTCTGTGGTGTAGACTCTCTTGCAACAGATGCAAGATAAATTTCAGGCCATGTCTGACCAGATCATTGGAAGAATTGATGATATGAGTAGTGGTATTGATGATCTGGAGAAAAACATCGCCCACCTTACAACACAGACGAGGGTGGTAGAACTGGAAGGTGAAAACAAGATACCTGCCACACAGAAGAGTTGAAGGTTTCTAATGATTAACACCAGAATCTGGAACACCAAGAAAAGACCAGCTGGCTTTCTGAGCTAACCACTATGTGTAGACAGGTTTTGTATTATAAAGTGTGCGTTCTTAACCATATACTATATAGTGAGTTTAAAGAGTGACTCCCCCCGTGTCTTGAAAATATTATCTTCACATTTCGGGCCTTGGTCAGTTGCTCTATTTATTAAACACTAAAGCTTAGGCAGTTCCTAAAAAAGAAAAGAAAAGCATATAGGACACAAGTCATTACTACCTATTAGGAGAGAAATAAAGAAGCTAGTCTACCCATACTGTATTTTGAAAATAGTCCAGGTTCAAAGTGATCACATAATGTTTAAAACAAATGATTTTCAACAAGAGTATTAAGACTACACAATGAGGAAAGAGTAGCCTCTGACAAATCATGCTAGGAAAACTGGATAGCCACATGCAAAGTGAAGTTGAATCCCTCCTTTACTTTCCATATGCAAAAACTAACTCAAAATTAGAGATACAAATTAGAGAGACCTAAAACTATAAAACTCCTTGAAGAAAATGTAGGGAGAAAGTTTCAGGATACTCTATTTGGCGATGATTTCTTGGCTATAATACCAAAAGACTTAAGCAACAAAAGCGAAAATAGACAAATTGGGACTATATAAACTACCAAACTTTTGCATGTCATGATCTTTTGAGTGTCAGGATCTTGCTAAGTTGCCCAGGCTGGCCTCTTAACTCACAACCCTCATGCCTGAAACTCCTGAGTAGCTCAGATTACTGGTATGTGCTGCTGCACCAAGCTAGATTTCAAATTTTTTGTTGCACCAAAAATGAGCTCATGTTTAATTCCACTTTTCCATGAGATTTTTTTGAAGTTTCCTCATATATCTGATAAGAGATTTAATAATAAGAATATGTAGGGCATTTGTACAATTCAACAATAAGAAAATAAATAAGTTCATTTAAAATAAGCAAAAGGGGGAACCAGCAGTTGGCATAATGGCTATGTTGCTGGATTCCCATGTAGTCGACTGTGGTTCGAGTCCCGGACCCGGTGGTTTAAACTCACTCCAGGCATGTGCGTGCCCAAGATCCTGAGAGGAGAATGGAGGAGAAACTATTACTATTGTGGTGTGGCCATCCCCCAGAGGGGTGATTTTTCGCTTTCTGTCTCTCTGTCTGTCTCTCTCTGGCTGGCTGGCAAGCACACGCACCCTATAGCAAAAACCTCTCAAAAAAAAAAAAAAAAGCAAAAGGGGGGCCAAATGGTGGTGTAGCAGTAAAATAGTGCTCTGTGAAGCTGACCCATGTGGATGGTTGTGGGTTTGCACCCAGAGACCTCACTGAATGCGCCAGGCATGCCTGTGTCGATGATGTGAGGCTGGCTAAAACTGGGGGTGGATGATTGTGGCATCAGGATCTTGTAGGGAAGGACCAGCAGGTGGCGTGGTGGTTAAGGCGCTGAACACTCCCACATGGCTGACCACAGTTCAAGTCCCTGACCTTTCTGGCTTTCTTTCTGGGGCCAGCAGGTGGCGTGGTGGTTAAGGGACTGGACTCTCACATGACCAACGGTGGTTCGAGTCCTGGACCTGGTGGCTTGCTTTCTCACTTTCTCTTTCTCTTACTCTGTCCCTTTCTGTTCAAATAATAAATAAATAAATAAATAAATAAAGGAAGTTAAATAAAATAGCTCTTTTACAAAAAGAAAAAAAGAAAAAAAGATCTTGTAGAGAGTACTCTCTCTGACTTTCATAGAAGAAAGATTGTTTTTCAGAGAAATGGGCAAAGGATTTTTGAAGAGATAATTCACCAAAGAAGATACATAGATAGCAACAAGCATATGAAAAAATGCACATGCATGTCCAAAATCCCAAAAGGAAAATAGAGGAGAAGGGATTGCTACATGGCCAACACCCCTGGGGGGATGATTTCTCACTTTCTGTCTCTCTGTCTCTCTCTGACTCTCAGTTGAGAACACACGCCCTGTAGCAAAAAATCTCTCTCAAAAAAAGAGGGGGAATGCAAATCAAAATCATGATGAGCTATTATCGTTAGGATGGCCACTATCTAAAGAACAGAGACTAATGTTGGTGAAGATGCTGAGAATTTGGAATCCTTGTGGTCTGTTGATAGCAATATAAAATGGTAAGCCATATGGAAAAAAGTATGAAGGTTCCTCAACAAAAAGTCAGAAAGCCCAGCTGTGATAATGTGCTAGACCCTGCT